GAAAAGAAAAAAGAGAAGGAACTTCATTCTCTGACATGGTTTATGAGTTGGGGATTATGGGAATATTCATGACTTAATCAAGAAGCACAATGAATTGATGTTTGAAAAAGCTCATCTTTTAAGTAAACATTGGATAAATGGAAAGTAGTCTCGGTATTCACTACATGTAGAATGAGCTGTTTTTGTGTAACAGAAATAGCAGTTTGTTAATCCTTTCCTGATTTGGTTTAATTTTTCAGGTAAATCACAATTTTTTAAAGAATTTTCTATTTATGAATATTTAGTACAAATGTTTAATAGAAATGTTTGCTTTATAATAAGTCATGCAGATCTGTACACATATTTCTAGGAGAAAGCCATTTTTAGTGGTGAAATATTTACAGTGACATTTTAAAATTTGAAAGTACTAATACCGGGGCATTAATTTGGAAGGATCAGAAAGTAGAAAGTTTTAGTCGTTAACATTCAACCTTGGTTTTCTATGCAACCGGGTGGCATATTTAGTTTACAGAGAGTCTTGGAAACTTTTATCAAAATTTAAAAGGAAGGAATTTAAATATGAGAAATAATACTGCTTATTATTTGTAATGCAGCTTTCTTGCAAAGCATGAAATCAGAGTGTAGTTTCCAAAGCTGCAAGTGAATATATATGCATAATCAGCATATTTCAGCCTTGATATTAAGAGGTAATGCTTAAGTTAAGGCTTCTTCCCTGCTGGTATTGTGTTGTGAGACCTGAGTATTCTTGTTCTGTGTTGCTTATCTGGCTCCCATGTGATCCACCAGCTTTACTTGACCCTCATTGCCTATGTGTACCCTTTCTCCTGTCCCCAGGCTGGTGCTAGCCTGTGATCCTGTCTTCTGCCCTTTGGTCACTGGTATAATATTCATGAAGCCTGACAAGTTATTTTTTCTTCTTGATAATCCACAGTACTTGTTTTCTGTTCCATATTTTGGAGAACTTCATTCATTTACCGTTTATTGAACATATACATTGTTCTAGACACCAAAGATGCTGAACTTTTTTCCCCCCTCATTTTGTATTCTTGTATTGTTCTCTGAAGGTTTCTCCAAATGTGTTTAGACTTAGTCTCCTTAAGAGGGCATAGTATTCATCAGAATATGATAGTATATTATACAATTTTTGGTCATCCTTAGGCACAGGACTACTTAGGAGGTGTTGGTAACTGTTTCCCTTCCTGATTTTTACATCAAAGGTAATACTTAAAACGAGTCACCTTAAAATGATAGCATTTGCTTGGTTACCATATGAGTTAGCATATGGTAGCAGATCTGGCATATGCTTCTGAATCAGAGGAGCGTGAACAAGGTTGACTCTCCAGGCTCTAGTGTCCTCATCTTTAGCAGTGATACCTGCAGGGATCTGAGGACCAGATGAAATGCCAAATGTGAATCACATAGTAGACACTTAATAGACTTAGTGTGAGAAACTAAACAAAGAATGCACCTCAAAGGTTGGAAATAATCTGTGTCCCCTGGCACTTCATCAAGTGCATTGCATAAGTGAAAGAACAAAGAAGTGAGTGTTTTTTAGTTAGTGTTTGAGAGATACATTCATCCTAATTGCTCTTCTTTTTTTAACACTTACCTCCATTCTCTGTGCCCTTCAAACCTCCGCCTCATCACTCCTAGAAACTTATTTAAATGCCCTTTGTCATTGGTGAGGTTTCAAGGCATGGTAGTATAGTACTGTGCCCTGGTTTCTATTTGCAAAATATTTTGTAACTGGGTGTGGTGGCTCACGCCTATAATCCCAACACTTTGGGAAGTAGAGACAAGAGGATTGCCCGAGCCCAGGGGTTCAAGACCAGCTTGGGTAATATAGTGAGACCTTATCTCTACAATAAATAAAAAAATTAGCCAGTCATGATGGCATGGACCTGTAGTTCCAACTACTTGGAGAGCTGAGGCAGAAGAATTGCTTGAGCCCTGCAGGTTGAGTCTGCAGTGGCATGGTATGCTACTGTACTCCAGCCTGGGCAATAGAGTGAGTCTGTGTCTTTCTCTCTTTCTCTGTGTGTGTGTGTATAAAATAGGTTTTTCAGGAAAATTTGGCAATTTTTTACTTTCTGGTTTTTATTTTGAAGTAAATTAAATAACTATTTTACTTTCGTTTCAAAAAAATTTTTTTAATTTTGGAAGAATTAACTTTTCATTTAGACCTTACGTAGTTAATCACCTGCACTGGAGTGGTTCTTGGTATCTTTTAATCCAAATAGATCTTGCTCTGAACAGTCTTCTGTGAATGAAGCTATTGTACCTCTTGCCCACAGACAGTCCATCCAGCTGAGAATGGAGGTCATTGGTAGAGCAAAAGGGTGGATAGGTGTGGTGTACAGCTGACCTGTTGTACTCAAACCGTGTAGCAAGTGGAATTGGATTTTCTCTCATATAGTGCAACATTCCTAAGATGAAACAGGTCTTATGGAATGTTTAGAGGAGGTGCTGAGGTGCTAAACACCTGTTTAAGATTTCCATGTGTTGTGTTATGTAAGTTAGACGATTTCTCAAAAACCCCTTCCATCACCAAAGTTCTATGAAACAATTTATAAAACTTTTTCTCCTATCCTCCCCTCTGTTAAATTCCATGAAACTCTCTTATATTCACTGAAAAAAATAGTTAAGCTGTTTCTAAGTAACTCGAATTAATTTTCAAACTAAGACTGTGACCTTATTTTGGGGAAGCAAGTATGTTTAGTGGTTTGACTGCTGTTTAAAAAGTGGAAGTCAACTCGCCAAAAAATAGACTAAACTTTTAAAAGATAGGTTGGGATTATTTTTTCACGTTTCTCTAGTTAAATCTTAATATATGGACTTAATGCTGCCTTTGTGACAACTATTATCATATTTTCTCAATAAATAGTTTGATCAAAACAGTTGGACTTTTTCCCCATAGATTTATATTAGTCTCAATCTAATGCCAACAATTAAGTGTTTCAGTGAGCTATAGTGGCACTCACCTATAGTCCCAGCTATTTGGACGGTCGAGATGGGAGGATGGCTTGAGCCCAAGAGTTTGGGATCGATCTGGACAACATAGTGAGACCTTGTCTCTAAATAAAAAGAACTAGAAATTACTGGAAAAAGAATATGAAAACATTATGTTCTTTATATTTCAACCATGATAGGCTTTGTTGAGTTCCTACAATACTAATAAGAGTTAATAAAAGGACAGTTTTTCCTTTAATGGGGTACTCATCACTAGTGTTTCCTCACTAGTAAAAAGGTATATTTCTGTCTTCAGTTGCCAATTATTTACTTTTAAGTGTAAAAGATATAAATGGTGAGTGTTAAATGCACTTACATGATTTTCTTATTCATAAGAATGCTTAGAGTTATGCCTCTAGATCATTAGCTCTGAACCAGCCAACCCACTTGAATTCCCACTAATATGTTAAATTGTGTTAAAAGGACAAAATGTTTATCATGCTAACCGTACTCTATATTAAAATAGGGGATGCATGATCAAGTTGGCAATAAAGTAGTAGGATCATGGCTTCCTCTTCTAATAGGAGATTGGCATGTACTGTGAAAAGCTCACATTTGTGGCAGAGAGAAATTATGAATTTTTATTTGGAAGCCTAGAAACATGAAAACTTAAAATCAGATGATGTAAACCTACCTTTAGTGACTCTGGTGTTTTTTAGGCTTTTATTTCCTTAGTCACACATAGCAAAGTACTTTGCTTAATGTGTTTTTAGCCCTTTGCATTCAGAGACACCTTGCGAATCACCTACCAGCAACTTGGCCACACTTTTTTACAAGATAGTAAAAAAATGAATCACTTCATATTAAACAATCTAGGATTGGAACCAATTATTTTATTGTAATGATAGTTGACTTCTAATAGAATTATGGACATTGAGGGACTTATTTATGACAAAAAGATCAATATCTTATATTTTTCTAATGTGGTAGCATGAAACAGTCACTGACATGCAATGCAGATTCATTGATACATGTTGTGCAATGGTAATTTGTTTGACCTCTTCCACCTGATGTTTTTATATTTAAGTAAACAATGCAGTCTCATTTTCTTCCTCCCACATTAATAATGTAATTTATTGTCCAGTCTGTGCACCACTGTGGAAGTACATCACATTCTCTTTCTATGTAATGCCAGCTGATTTTTTTTTTTTACATGTATCTTAGCATATATTCCATCTCTTTATTTGATTTTTCATGAAATTTGAATAGAAAACTTCAAGGAAACATGCATTTTTTGAAAATTTGTACTTGTGTCAATTTTTCCTATATAATCACCATCAATCTCCTTATGTCCCCTGAGAGGGGACATCCAATTGGTTTGCTAAATTTACAATGTCCCCTCAGAGGAAACATCCAAGTTCAAAGGGTTAGAGTATTATTGCCCTTCTCATGTCTGTTGTAGATATTTTTCACATTTTCTTTGTAATTTCATGACATTTTGTTATATAAGTAAAAGTATCCATTTCAATGTGGCCATATTGATTGAACTTTTTCTTTGTAACTCTCCCTAATACTTTATTCTTAATGAGTCATCTTCCAGTCTAAAGCTAGTTAAATAACAAACTACATTTAATTTTAATTTTTAAAAATGGTTTCACTGTTTTATATTTTCTTCTGTTTCAAACATTGCTAACTGTGGGCCCTTGGTTGAACTTTAGAGAATTTGAGAATTCCTTAAAGTTCTATACCTAATTGTCCATGTACCTATACATGCAATTTTCTGTGTTAAGAGTCCACAACTTTTACTAGATTCTCAAAGGTGTCACAGGTCTCTCCTTCCCCTTCCAAAAATAGCCAAGAGATACTACTATAATCCACCTAGACTCTATTTGGATATAAGATAGTATGGTGAGATTCTGGGTTTTTTCGCCTTTCCCCAAGTAGATAAAGAAGTATACCAGACCATTTAGTGAATAATTGTCTCCTCTGATTTGTGATATTTTTGAAAAATAAATTTGTTTTTCTTTAACTACTTCACTATCGTTTTATCTCCACAGAAAAAGTCAGAGAAATTCAAGAAAAACTTGATGCTTTCATTGAAGCTCTTCATCAGGAGAAGTAAATTATTTTGAGTGAGTAAAGATTATGTGAACCCAGCCTTAAATTTTTATTCTAAACTTTTATTTTATTTTATTTTATTTTGAGTCAGGATTTCACTCTGTCACCAGGCTGGAGTACAGTGGCTCCATCACAACTCACCTCAGCCTCTACTTTCTGGGCTTAGGCAGTCCTTCTGCCTCAGCTACTCCTCAGCTACTACCAAGTAACTGGGATTATAGGTGTGGGCCACCACACTCTACTATTTTTTTTTTTTTTTTTTTTTTTGGGTAGAGATGAGGTCTTGCTATGTTGTCTAAGCTGATCTTGAACTCCTGGGCTCAAACAGTCCTCCCGCCTTGGCCTCCTGAAGTGCTGGGATTACAGGCATGAGCCACTATGCCCAGCCTTAAACTTCCTTAACAGTTTATCATTCTGCTCTGCTTAAAGCATGCTTGCTCCTTATGATGTAATAATTTCAGTGGCATGAATCTCTGAAAGCAGCTTCTAAATTTTACTTGTATAATGTTATTTGAACAACTTGATTGCCTTCTGGCTGAACTGAAAATATCCTCTAGAACTCATTTTGAACAAAACAAAGGTGAACAGAAAGCCAAGATATTTTATAATATGCAGGTGATTTTTTTTTTGTATGTAAATAATTGGACTGTAGTTGTCCTAATTTTATTCCTCCTTGTTACTTGCGTATTAAATATTAAACTTGCAAAGATTTTTATTTATTTGATTTGACTAAAAATTTTAATATTGTTCTTAATCTTATTCTCTTGTATTTAAAAACATTTAGGTAAGCCTTTTTCCTGTTTAATTTATATAGACTTAGAATTCAGTATTCTTCTAAATGTATTTATTTTCTTGTCTAATTCTATGCTCTGGCTTTATAAGCATGTTCCTGATAAAATACTCTGTATTTAAGGACTTCCCTTAGTAGCATAATCAATTAATTGTTGCTGAAGAATTATAATGAGTAAGTCATTTGTTTTCATTAAGGAAGTTGAGAAAAGAAAAATACCATAGTTAAGTAGTTATCACTTCAGATATTTCATCACTTTTATCTGTGAGCCTTATCTGTCTGCAGCAGGGTCAGGAGTAGAAATGTGAAAGTTTCCCTCCCAAGCTGCACTCAGTTCACTTCAGAAAAGGCCATTAAACTAAACAACCTCCTCTCTACTGTAGGGGAAAAGTATTTGAGAAAGCAAGCTAGAAAGAGAGGCTCTGCTCAGATGGCTCCTCACACAGAGCAGTACACCAGCAATGGAGCAAAGAAAGAGTTAGAAAACTTCAGAGTAAAACTACTTTTTTTTGTCTCATTTATTTCTTTCATAAGTTCAGACAGACTTATAGAGGTACCCACAGATACATAATCATCTTTAACATTAACCAAGAATAATTTTGGTGTTTTTACAAATGTCTGTGTTCATAAATGTTTTCTACATCTTCGATATATGAAAATTTTATTTTAAAATCATAATCTATCCCTAGTCATGATAGTTACTTTGAATAGTTACTCTTAGAGAGACACATTTTAAGTACCATCTTAATTTTGAGTTCTCTTCTTTAGCACCAGAATTTACATGATAGTTTTACTTATACATGGCAACCTTTGTGGGGGAAACATTCCATGATAGCTACAGAAATCCCATTACAGATATAAACTATATTTCTAGTTTTTTAATGAAAAGAGAAAGCCCAAAGCCAACCAGTGTTTTGCATAGTAGTTAACATTTCTGCCCTAAGCTGATCATTGTGACATTTAGAGTTGCCATTGCTGCAAAGGACATGCCATTTTCCTGCCAGGGAGTCTGTCCCAAGAGCAGACCAGTGCAGTGATAAGAGCCAGATTGTGGTGATATTTGTGCACAGAGAGGCCTTGAGAATAGGCAGACCATCTTGATTTTGTTTGTTTCCTATCTGTCTAGTGTCTCTAAGGTCCTTAGAAACAACCCTTGTGATTTATGACTCTGTGAACTGTTATAAAATATTTATGAAGCGAACAGATTATCTACTTTGTACCCTGCAGATTTGTTTAAAAGAAAAAATCTGGCAAAATACTAGTCTTGCTTCATCCTGCCCATTTTATTAAAAATACCGAGCATCGTAAGGAATAGTTTCTCAATTATAATTTTAATGTATATAATTCTAATTATAATTCTAATATTTACTGAAGATGCTTACACCCTACACAGCCATACACAGATTCTTCTATGCCAATTAATTTTAATATGTATTTTAATTTTTTCTATGAAAATGAATTCTAGTTTATTTTATTCATGTTTGATAAAATTATGCTAATGTTTGTGGTAGGTGATATTCTAAATAATTTTATTGAATTGTGGCTTTAAGCAAACCTAAACAGTTAAACTTCAGTATTTTTTGATCATACAATAACAAAGTTTGTTTGAAATTTTGCATTTGTTTCCCCAGATCTAAATTTATCAAATGGATTTGTTTTTACAGAATCCTACTCATAAGCACCTCTGCATACATCCGAAGAAAGAAAACTGTAAAATCTTTTGTCCTGCCTCTTTTTCTTCTGCTATTCCACCTCTCTAAACTTATAATAAAATAATGGGGTAAAAATTATTGATGTGTGTTACAGGCACTTTAACCATCAGCTGCCTTTTGAATGGAAGAACAGTGGTAATGGCAATAACACCCTATTTTGTTGTAGTGAAGTGACAGATTGGGATAATATATTGGTATGACCATTAGGTTCAGTCCTCAAATATAAGAAACTTACTCTTTACCTGTTGTCTCATTTGTGGTGGCACTAGTTTTAACTCATTAACTGATGGTACTCAATGTGAATTTCTTTTCCAGAAATATAATGCTAGGTGTTTTGAAATAAAACTATAGCAATTTTTTAAAAGTCAATTGTATATAAAATGACAGCAACCCACTAAGTCATCATCTGCATCTGTAATGTTCTATATCCAGGAACTATTTGATTGTGATGATTCAGTTTATGTTTACCACAAGACAGAAACATGGTTAACAGAAGAACCCCTAAAATAGGTTAATTTGGATTATAACAGTTCAGTGTACATTCAGAGAAAGAAATTTCAACCCTTCATTGACAGCTTAGCAATATGCCTTGGAAACCAAGTCAGTAGCAGCTTACCTATTTGATTCAGTTGCTATTTGTGCACTCACTGTATCTGTTTGAAATTGATTCATTTTAGATATTGTATACTTAAGTTTGGCTTTTTGTTAACAGTGTTTTTTTTTCCTGTTGACAGAGCCATTGGATTATGAAACAGGATGAGGAAGATGAAGGATAATCAGTTGACTAATTCCACTTAGAATATTGTCAAACATTTCAACTAGGCATCAGGAAAAGTGTTTCTTTCATAAGACTATTTTAAATAGAAATTATTTAGGCAATTAGGGCAGTGCTGACCATCCCTCTCTTAGCCGGATAAAGAAAAAATTAAAGTTTAATTCATTGCATTTTAATTACAGTAATACCCTGACAGTATTTTCATGCGTTATATATAAACCTTTTTATTGGTTAAAGGAAATTAAAACAAAGGGTTATGCCATTTTTTAACTTAAAACGTCTATCTCATTTGCTACCATTTAATTAAGCCTCTATTTTGTGAATAAAATGCCCATTGTATGACAGTTTTTATTTTACAGTTTACTTAATCTTATCATTTTCTTGGAATTGTTTTTTGGTAACAATTCCCTTGCTACTTTCTCCCCCCCCCCCCCCTTTTTTTTTAAACATCAGTACATTCTTCATTGTGATCCCTCAGGATCTGATATTTAATAGGCAAGGTTGAAAGATATACATAAAATTTCAGAAACTGGGAATTCAGTAAATGTCTGTTTTATATTGTTTGTTAAGGACAGTAGCTCCTCCAGTTTTAAGCATCTCTTATCAGTATACATTGTTATTTGGTAGATAAGTAGTCAAGGACCGTTTGTATTTCCCTTAGGTCTAATAGAGACAGTGGTGAACAGAAAGGGAGGAGAGCTCTATAATGCTAGGAGATGACCTCACTGGTTAAAAGCCTCCAACCAGTGCTGGCAGGTAGGGAAACCCCCTCACTGAAGCAGTCATCAGGCTTGTTAACGGAATATTTTTACGGTTGTAAAACATTGCCATTATAACTATACATCGATGTCTAAAGAAAAAAAAAAACAGGACCATATTTATTTCTGTGAACTATGGATATGAAAAAAATACCTTCAACTGGATTTCTCCCAGATTTCTCCCAGGGAAAAGGCTGTTATTAGTCAGTACTATTATCACATCCCTTTGTATAACTTTTAAAAATAGGGAGAGGGAAATCTTTATTTCTGTTAGAAGATCAGGATTGTAACTTATATTAACATTATTAAAAGTTCCATATAAAAATTCTGATATTCTTCCCATCCTCCTCAGTAATATGGCTTCTTTCATGGATTTTTTTTTAAAGCTGACCTCATGCTAAACCTGCCCTTTTTTTTTCTTGAAAGCTAGATATTTATTAAATGCAGATGTTATTGAAAGAAAAATAAAACTCAGTCTCAACAGTAAACCCTGTGTGTTGTATCTGTAGTTGAGAAAAGTTAGGAATCATTCAAATTTAAACAACAACAAAATCTATTTCAGATATTCGATATATAGATGTTAAATTCTAACTAAACAAGGAATCGTTTGTTTTTATGTCTGAATTTACAAAGAATGGAGGTGGACAAAGGTCTATGTGGAAGACTGGATAATTGTAAATAGATTACTCTTCAAAATTAATTTGGTCAGGATACCAGTTAACAATCACTATATGTAGGCAACGCACCATAGGAAGTAAGTGATTCTTGGTTCTTCCTGCTTCACAGTTGAACTGACTGTGCTGTAGTTACAGCAGAGCGGTCAGCCCTCCTAGTAGTTTAATTATATTGTCTCTTCTGGGTATTATCCCTATTTTTCACGGGTTTTTTTTCCACAACAGACTCCTTCCTACAAATTTTTTCACCTCCAAATGCAAATGAATAGTGTAAAAACAGTGTAGGTAACATTGCCAAATAATGTCTCCTAAACTCACAATCTAGGAATTTTACACATGATAAGAGAGTACAGGCTTGGAAGATAAATTCTTTAGTTAGTGATTTTATATTTATTTATTTTAGGTATATTTACCTGAAGAAAAATACGGTACTTTTGCTTTCTGATAAATGGGATCAAAGTAATGGTTTTTATCGCAATTCTCTAAGCTGGTATACATTGTAGGGTCAGGTACTTTAGCAGTCTGGAAATGTGCTTAAAAATATGCTTACCTTTTGAATTATCATGGCTCTTTGTTGTTTAAATATTTAAAACTTGTTTTCACTTGTGCACCATGAACGAACTTTGTATTTTTTTTTTTTAAACTTTCACTTTACATGTAGATATTATTGCAACTTATATTTTGCCTGTGCTTAATCTAAGGTCATTTGTGTAGATGAGTAATTAAAAAATATTTAAATCACATTATAATTCTATTATTGGATAGCATCTTTTACATTTTCTCTGTTTTAATGAGGGAAAAATATAGAAACGTGTGCCTAGGAGTCATTATGTGACCCCATAGTATAACCAGATTCATGGTCTATTAAGCTCTTAATGTGGCTCTTCTCTGAATGACCAAGTTTCACGTTTTGCATTTCATTGTTATACTCCATAGTTAGCCAGTGCTTTTTTTCATATCTTAATAGTTGTCAAAACATTTTGATATTTTCTTTGGTAAAATCTATAAAAATGTTTTCTAATTGCACTTTGCTGCCAAGACCATCACTTTAATTAATAATGCTAACATGTTCAGTCATATATGAGGCTTACTAAAAAGTTATAACTAAGTCTTGGAACTGGAAGGAATTTAGTCACTTAATTTCATCTACCACCTGATTATAAACTCTCATTACTCATTTTTTTATTCCTTCCAGTACTTCGCTCATGATACTTGCTAAATATTTGTTGACTGTTGGATGTGTAAATTAGGGTAGAGTGTAGGTGTGCCTCGTCCAGGACCCTTACACTTGGCTAGAGTCAAAACTGGGAATAGATTCAAAGTCACAATTGCTTCAATAAGTAGTACACAGGAGTCGGAAGATGGTATATTTCTGTTCAATAAATGTCAAGAGACTTTTTTTTAAATTCCTTTAAAAGATGTATAGGCAAGTATATGTTTCAGTCCTATTAGCATTTTTTCTCCTTATCCATACTAGCAAATCAATCCTAGTGTGCGGCCCAAAAAGTGCGTATATTTTAAACTAGGTTAAACTTTAAATACAAAGTACTTGTATTTTTTTCCTTTGTGTAATTCAAGTGCATGTCTCAAAAAAGTTTGTATCTGCATGTATCTTCATGTATCAAAAAAGTTGGAAGAATTTACTAAAGAGTTAATAGAGTAATTTGTTTTCTTTTAGCATGTCCAATTGAGGAATTAATATCTTTATCAAATTGAAGTAGCTTCCATGTGTTTATAGATAATACAAATGTATTATTTAATTATATTACAAAGTGTGTTGTAAAATAATCACATAGCAAATTTGTGATAAGTGAAATGATCATATGCTCTGCACATATTAGACTAAGTTGATAAGTGTAGAAAACTTCAGGATTATGACAAGTACTACAAAAATTGTCAAAGGTTAAAAAGTAGGACAGTATCAGGAAAGTTTAAATGTGGGTGATCTTTCATCTGAAGAAGACGGTTTATAAAACTAAGGGTAAGGAAAAACCTGCACCATAAGGCATTCGTGCAAATCTGTATCCTAAAATGACAGAGTTGAGTGACTAGTTTGAAAGTTGGGACTATGTATGTGATCCTTCTCCGAAAGACCTCTTGTAAATTATATTCACATTCTATAGCACCAGTGTAAAGGTCCATCTGGAGTCACAAGGAGTAGGTAGCTACTACTTTAAGTGATTTTTAAGGGAAAGTTGTTTCTTTATTCTTGTGGTAAAGAATTCTTCTTGCTACTGTCCTTTGTTTAAATTCATTAACCCAGATGTAAACTGCTTTCTCTCCAAGTATTTGAGGAGAATCAAAAAAGTCTTTTTGGAAAAAGTGGGGCCAGAGGCACCACTGAACATCCAATCACCATGCAGTGATACTGCCAGCAGCCTTCCACAGAGTTGTGTCTTAGGCCATGTTAGGAAAACAAGTTACACTCCTTAGTGTTCAGAGCAGAACATCCATTCTACTGTTTACTCTTGAAGTTATTAAACCACAGAGCAAAACATGGAAATTAGAATTGTATCAGAATTGTCAGAAAATACAGTCATGATTTACATGATCTAACACTTGCCAAAAGCTCTTGAGACTATCACTGTTTGTGAGAGAATAGGCAGGGAGTAGGTTAACTCCATCTTTTTGCTTTGCCAACTTTTATCTGAGATTAGGCCAGATCATCAGAAAGTAATACTGCCTGTTCTGTTAATTATCTACCTCTTTAATATTTTGCACGGGGAGACACCCCTTATCAACAGGGTGCCTGAACGATGCATATTTGTATACATAACCCTTAACTGTACCCCACAATTTTAAAATAAAAAATACATTTTAAAAAAACAAATATTTTGCCCTTGACTTTCACAGACAGTGCCATGTGCTACATCTATTTGATGGAAACACACATATTTGATGAAAACCACAGGCATCTTACAGATGAGAAAATAGGCTTAGAAAAGTTTTAAGTATTTTGTGCAAGGTCATTCAAATGAGTAGCAAATTCAAAATTTGAAAACAAGTGTGATGACAAACCTATGTATTTTCCAAAATATGCTTTCTTCCAAAAATACATTAAGGAAAATGAACACATCTATGATGTTAGGAGCACATTGGGACACATACCTAGAAAGTGCAAAATGAGCTAACTCATTTTCTAACAGAAATGGCCTGGGTTAGACAGTTTTCCCTAATACATGGGGCTGTTATATTGAAGAATGGAATTATCTTCAGAGACAGAAGATTGCCTATGAGGTTCTAGTAGATAAGATGGCACTGAGATTCAGGAGGTTCTAATGATCATGTTAACCCCAGGCCTTAAATATTAGGAGTAAATGTGAGTGCTTTACCATTTCTCCTTAACATGTTGATTATGTTAATTTTTCCATCTTACTCCTATGCAGATTCTCTATATCTTTGTGAGTTAGTCCAACTATTAAGATAAATAATTACTTTCACTCCAGTTTTAAAAATCTTGGTTGAATATTTTATTTTCCCAAATTACTTACTTTGGACTGCCTTTTGTTTCTAATTAACACTTTTGAGAGGGAAGCTATTAGCAGAAACCTTTACAATTTTAGCCAAATTTATTTTCAGTAATCTTATATACTGAAAATATAATTAATATACATTAATTTTTTAGTTTTCTTGCTTTGAGATATGTTTGGTTTCCCAAGACTATTAGGATGGAAATACACATTTTCCTGCCAATTCTTGTGTGTGCATCTTTTCACATATCAGAACATCCCCAATATGAATGTTTAATTGAACATCCCGGCCATTTGCTGCCTCTGCCATTTCAGAGTCTCTCAGCACAAGCACAAAGCCACTCCTACTTTCATACATTCAGATTTCTCTGAACATCTGAGACATTTACATTCTTGCTAATTGTACTGATTGCTGTGGTCATAGCTGAATCACGATTGTGAGAATGTGATTTTGTTCATGTCAAAAGCCCTGTTTTGTTACCCTCTTGGTGGAGTGAGGCGTTTGGACCTGGATGCTCTCCCCATTGGGCGCCCCCCGTTGGTGCGTTTCGCCAGCTGTGTACTCCATGATTGGCTGGGCTTTTGATGTGCAGATACTACAAGTTGGTCACAAACTTGTGTACAATGGGCCTGTTCTGGTTCATGTGAAAATCAACATCCTTTTTTGTGTTACCGGGTGACAGGATGCTACAATACTATTAGCATTTGCAAAGAGTGTGCTCTGTCCAAGGGTGTAACCACAGATCGTGTGCTGCTCAGTTTGTGTTTCTCTATTATGTGAGAGACACAAAGAAGCTGAAGGCTGGCAAAGGCCTGTCAAATCTTGTAATGTAGCGCTCGACCCCCAAACTCCACTTGGCCTCCAAGCATCTCTTGTTCCCTGTCCCACCCCTTTCTCTGAATGGGCTCTGAGGTAGGTAAATGAATTCAGGGGCCTGGTAGGCGGGGGATTCCTTTCTGACCTCATTCCTGTACCATTTGTTTGCAGGCTTGTAGGGGGAGAGGAGGACATTTTGGAATCCTTTGTGTCAAATCATTTTCTTGCAGGTTGGGGAGTTAATGGTAACTTTGTCTGAAGCCAGCCAAGCAGAAAGCCTCCACGGATGAGGCGTGGCATGCTCAACCTCCTCAAAACTACAAGATGAGAATATGGAAATGGGGAACTTTCTAGAGTAGATGGATATGCCACATGTGTGCATGTTCAATATCTAATGGGAAGCTTAAACCTTCGTGTTTGTTTAAGCATAGAGTAGTTTTTTGTTTTAAATGTGTTTTCCTCTTTCTGAATCATGGCTTTTACATTGATGCCTGTAGTTTAGGTAATCTTTTGGGTAACCGGTACTTATGTATTCTGAAATATTTTGAAAGCCTACTCCCTGGCCAACTATATAGAGCATGGTGTGATTTCTAGAAATTAGGAATTTTTTTTACCTTCATTTACTTTGTTTACCTAAAGTATGAACTATAGTTTTAGAATTGGTGATAGCTCTTATTTTGCAAAAAGAAGAAAAAAGAGACCCAAAGAGAAAAAGCAAATTGTCCACTAGTGTTAGAGCTAGAAACTCTGTCTCACGATTCCTAGGCAAGTACCATTTCTGTTCCATGTAGAATTAGATCCAGAGCTATAGATTCAATAACTTCAAAGCCAGGCATTCTCTGAAAAAAGTTGGGGATCTGGATATTCATGTGAAACCTCCCTATTTTTAAATGGCAGCTGCCAATTTTGAAAATCTTAAATACTTGTGTGAGTCAAACAGAAACATCTCCAGCTAGCTTGCTGCCCACCCATGAGTGTCTATTTGAAACCCCATTTAAACTACAGCTTTCTGCTAATTTCTGGCTTTATTGGATTTGGATGATAATGTTACTAGGCCTTATGAAAAGAACATGATGTCTGGTCGTTCTTATACATGCACAGTTTTTTTGGTTGCTTCAGTTTTATTTATTATAAGGCGGGACTGGAGCGAAATCTAATTTATAAATGCCTTCTATGTTCCAGACACTTTAAATGCTTTACCTTACTTATTCTTACAACTTCCAAAGGTAGACGTTATCATCATTTTACCAACAGTTTGACTCTGGCTCAGAGAGATTGCCTGAAGTTCCACTGCTGGATAGTTGACAAAATCTTTGTGGGATCCATGTAGGTTTGACTGCAGAGCCTAGAAAAAGAGCAGGTACAGAAAGATCTAGAAGGAAGTGTACTAACAGGCTTCTCCCCTTACCTGTTCAGCTAATCCTGAGGTGGCTGTTCCTTTTCATGTTATAAGCCAGCTGGTCAAAAAGTGTATCCATAAAGAGATACCTGTATGCACTACTTCCAGCACAGTGGATAAAGTGAATGCTTGGTGAAAACCTGGCTGAGTAAGATGTGCATATTAGCCGGGCTCGGTGGCTCAGCCTGTAATCCCAGGGCTTTGGGGGGCTGAGGTGAGTGGATTCCCTGAGCCTGTGGGTTCGAGACCTACCCAGACAACTTGGCAAGACCTCATCTCTACAGTAAATCAGAAATTAGCCTGGCATTGTAGCGCACACCTGTAGTTCTAGCTACTT